ACCCCAGCATGGCTGTCTGACCCAGGGCCAGCTGTGAGGAGGGTGGTTGGCAGCTCTCGGAGGAAGCAGCCCCACAGAGATGCTGCACCGCTGCCAGAGGTCTGCAGTTGGCGGTTCATTAGGAGCTGCTGCCACTTCCCAAGGGAGCACTTTGCAGCCTTCCTTCTGCCCCACCACATCCCCATTCAAATTTGGTCAAAAGTTTCCTCTGGAGGCTTTTTTTTCTCTTAACTTATTTTTCCTTAGACGAGTATTTACTTACTGTGTAAAGCACCTATTTTTCATTAAACATTAACACTTGAGCCCCAAATACCACAGCATGGTGTGGCGATGCCCTTGCAGCAGAGCAGGAACCCCCTCACCACACCACAAAGGTGCTTCACACCCCAGCCCCTCACCCTTGCCTCCCTCCCTGTCAGTATGGGTGCTGGCGTCCCCCACAACTCACCCCTCCTGCTAGCCAAGGCTGGGGACATCCAGTCACCCGCAAGGTCCTGTTGTCCCTTGCAGAGAGCTTCGCAGGGCGCCATCTTGGAGGAGGGAAGGCCTCGGCTTTGTGCCACTTCCCTCCCCACAGAGGAGCTGCCATAGCTAGGGCCTCTCCTCTCCTCACAGCAGGCGGGATGGTGCCAGCTCCTCCGTGGGGCCTTTTTGCTCATTTGGGGTGGGAGGAGCCCTCCACTGCTGTGAATGTGGAGAGCAGATGGGAACAGGCTCCTTGGATCCAGTCTGAGGGCCGGCACCTCAGCGTGGGCTCTGTGGCCCCTCCCAGCACCCAGGGAGGGAAAAGGGGCCATAGCTCCCTTGTGTGGAGATAAAACCTCTGGGGAATATGCACTTATCCTTGGCATTTTTTCCCAGAAGCGCCCAAATAACAGGCTGCTGGGGTTGCCCGGAGGGCAGCGGTGCGGGGCAGGAGCGAGCGGAGGGTGTGCAGAGGCAGGAGTGGGAAGGGAGCGGGCGCTGGGTGCCCCAGTCCTTGGGAGGGGACACTCATGGGGGCGAGGAGCCTGAGGGAATGGGGACCAGGGGGAGAACAGCTGCCGAATGTCCTGTCCACATTACAGATGCAGACAGGCTACGAGCCCACCATCTGAAATAAAACCTCATTATCCAGGGGCTATTTTGGCACCTGTTGAGCTCCTGATAGCTCACATGCTGCATTTGTACTCCCATTGCTGTGAAAAACTGTATCCAATCTCATAAAAATCCCACTGGCCCCCCCATTTTGTTCTATATCCTCTGTAATGAGGAAACGTGGCCTTTAAAAAAAGAGAGCAAATAAACTCAGATCTCGGTTTGCATATAGACCATGTATGAATACCAAGCATGTACAAATGCATACTTAGGAATAAAATTGCCAACTGAATGTTTTAGACTTCAAGTTTGCACTATCCATACATCTGTCTCAGCCTTAAAACTTTATATTCTTCTCCTTCCGGAATCCAAGCAAATCACAGGAAGGTTACATGAAAACAACGGTTGCGTTGTCTCTTTCTGGCCCAACTTTGTGGCCTAAGGAGAGGGCAACTTCCCAACTCTCATAGTTTTCACTAAAGGAAATAATAAAGTTCGTCCCTGTTCCTGGATCCTGCTCCACCCAAGGTCTGGGTTGGACCTTCGGATTACAAATACCACCCATCGCCAAAAAAAAAATGTGGGCTTAGTCCTGTGGACTTCTGACTCTTCTTTGTCATCCCTCATGGAGCCTCTTATTCCTTTGAAAGAAACAAACAAACTACCATTTTGGTTTGACAGTTTTACGTCCAATGTCATAGGTGCTGATGACTGCACAGTTATCCACCAGATAACTGAGGAATCAAGCTTGTGATTCTGCTTCATCAGTCTCTTGCATGACAATCGAAAGACATTCCTCTTGGGGGATTTTGAGGCTTTTACTGGGGGGAAGGTGTCGCTGGTTTTGGGGGTTTTTTCCTGCCGGGAAATATTGTCTCCTTTAAAGGACAGATTCAGTGTGCAATTATTTTGAAACAAGCCTGGGAAAGGGTCTCCTCACTCTGCTTGGTCTACAGGATATGCTCCTTCGGCTCTAGGTGGGTCTCCTTTGGCAGAGGCTGATGCTTGATTAAGAAGTTTAACAATGTATCATCCTGAAATTTTGGGCCTGATTCTACAAGGTGCTAAAATGTACCTTCACCCCTGCATTCACCACATCAGACTCTCAAGGGATTCAAAGGGAGTCTGGGGCACCCCATTTCTCACAGAATCACAGTGTAAGGGACTGAAGTTTAAAGATAAACAAACAGTTCTCAAAAAAAACCTGTACAGATCTGCACATTCTCAGCTTGTTCAGGAGTATAATTAATTGGTCTGTTTCACCAAAGACTGGCAAAACTTCCACTGAGGTTTGCTGGAGAGATAGCTAATTGATTTGAGCTATATTCTGTAGACGTTTTACATAGAAATCTATCCCAAAAGTCAGTTGGAAGGCTATTTTATTGCTCAGTTGTATAGCTGGTACTAAAAAATGTGGGGTTTTTTTACAATTTTTAGGGCAAGCTTTTATTTTTTTCATGAAGCAATCTTTCCTTCTATGATTCATGATCGTGTTGAATTGTCTAAGGTAGGAAATATCAGCTTGAAATTACTGTCATGTGCTATAGGAACCCAAAGGGAGAGTGTGGAACTCTGTCTTCTCCAGCAGGAAAAACAGATGGTAAAACATTAAGCCAAATGTGTTTCCAAGTAAATCCTGGAATGCAGCATGCAAAACAACACGTGTTCAATCAGAAATCCTCAAAAGAAAAGACCATTTCCTCAAGCAGATTAGCTACCTCTAATGAAGGAAATTCTAATCAAATAAGCAGCTTGCCATCCAGGTACATCTGTAAGTCTTCTTTTCCTTGGTTTCCTTATGTTCCATGATTTTAACAGGAGCTGAGAATACTCAACACCATAGAACAGGCTTTAAGGGAGTATGACAACAGGCACTGTCCCCAGACTCAAACTAAACAAATTTCTCTTGACACTTAACAGTTTTCTCCTAAGACAGCCCACACTCACTTATCTCTTTTGCTTCATTAGTCTCACTTCTGATTCCTAATGTGAATGATTCACAATATGTAAAAAATTCTACCACATATATTAAACTGCGTACTGTTACTCATTCTTCTGGATATACCTTCGGTGACATTCACACAGCTGCCACATGGGCAAACAATAGCAAGACAGAAACTTTACCAAAGCTCTGGAAGGCAGACATATGGATTTTTTTATATATATATTCACAAGAGCAATTTTTTTTATCTTAAAACCTTTCGAAAACAGGCATATACTGCAGGCTTTGGCAGTAGAGATAAAATATTATGGGATCCAGCCTTACTTTGTTTTTCTCATCCAAATATACACATTGCTATAACAGAGGAATAGTTGCATCCAAAATTATTACTGCTGCTTGATGACTGAAATGCCTCATGTAGTGTTCCACACATGAAACTACTGCAAATATCCATCTTGCCTGATCAACAACAGCTTCTTTGGGGTGGAGGAAAAGAAAAGCAGCATATACATGGTTCACTTGAAATGCAGTGACAAAAACAGCATTTGAAGGCATGTGTTCAAAACAGTCCCATATTGTTATTACAGATGGAAACAGTGAAGGAAGAGAAACAGAAGAAACAAAAGCCAGCTTTTGTGAGTTCCAGAGCAATCCCTTATGATCCTGGGTCTTGTATAAGATGATTTGGAAGCTTTGGAAAGGCATTCAGGGTCTCTCCCAGCATAAGGCACTGCAACACACTGTCTTCCATGAGCCTGGCCCAGTGCCATGACAGTTTCTGCATAATTCATTGCACGTTTTGCTAAGTGTTCTCTGTATATCTATATAGATATATACACATAGACATATATGTAAATTCCCATATGCTTTCCTGCAAAACATCAGAAAACCAGAATCAGTTACATAATGGAATACAGAATTCAGAATATGCTAAACTTAGTACCTGCTGACATGTCACACGTGCCCCAAAATAAACCAGAGATGTGTTGATTCGGAAGTTATATGTACTCTAAGTCTGTAAATAGAAATTATTTTTTCTCTCACAAAGTTTTCATATAACCCAGACAGGAGGGCTAATATTTGACTTTCCAAGTAGCTTCTGCCCTTTTCAAGCCCCATCATCTTTTCAGCATATTAGCATTATTCCTAGCACTTCGTTGTGTCATTCTCTATGACAAATATTGATTTGGGATAAAACTAAATTTTTTTTTTCCCAAGTCTTAGAGTTTAGATCTCCAAAAGTAGAGGGTAGTGTCTTGAGCCCCATGACCTTTCAACATAAAATGCTTAAGAGATACATAAAGCAGATCCCTCGTCTTCTTATGGAAAAATGTATATTCTTCAAACATCATTCTCCCTCCATCTTTTCTTCTGCAGTTGAAAAGAAAGGAGGTTCAACTAGAAAGATCAAGTGGCTGGCCAGATTGTTTATGGAATACTGAGATCTTAATTTCAAGATTACCAGTCTGGAATCAAAGTCACCAGCAATCACAACCTGTAACTGGCCAGAAGCCTTTCAGTGAATCTGGGTGAAGGGAGCAATGAACCCTCACCAAGACTTATCAGTAAGAAAAGTGCAGGCTGTTGTGAGAACTAGCTACCCTTTTTGAACCCGTTGCTTAAAAATATCATTAAATACTTTTTTTTTTTTAATCAGAACTAGTAATTAATTACTTTCATATTTACCTATTGTGTCTGCTGTGACCATAAGCCACTATGAACAGTCCACGGCCTCTGATAAAAGACAGATATATACTGACTCTTTCATTGTACAATGTATTTTCAACCCTTTCTGAATCTGCAATTCCGAGTCATAGTTTTAGTGAAAGTCTTTGAGTCTAGGGCTCAGACACCCACTTGTTATGTTTCAACCATACTTGTAAATCAGAATTATTTACACAAGAGTCTGAGAACTGGGTCCTTGATTTAACTAAACTACAGTTGTTACCTCTCACAGGATGTGCTTGTTTAAGTTCATATTTTATCTCAGTTCTTCTTCCTCTTCCTCATCCTCCATTTCCTCTTCTGAGTCATCCTTATTCTTTGAACTGTTGCTGAATTCAAGGTTTCCTTCAATATCCAGTACCTGTAAGTGCTTTAGGTTTTGGAAGGTACTTTCTTTCAGTGCTCCAACTGCAATCTTATTAAACCTTTAAACAAACAAACAAAAAGGCCTTCTTATTAATATAAGCCAGTTTTTATATCCAACAGAAATGAGGAGAATTAGGAGGAAACCATTCTGTAGAGTTACTCTAACACTGATTCACAACAGCACTCTAAGAGTACCGACTCCTCTTCATGGAAAAAGGAAGGGAAAACACGTACTGATTAGCAAGCAGGCAAATGCAGTGACTGAACAAAGTTTGCTCACAGCACCCTGTATCATCACAAACGACCCTGCAGGAAAATACTGGGAAACATAAATCTCCCACTGATTTCAAGTTCACTGACCAAGCTTTCAAAAAACTCCTACTTTTCTCTGACCCAGCCCCCCTTCCCTGTTCTGTAATTGTATTATGCAAGGAAAAAAACCATAATATTGGAATTCCTCCCCGACTAATTCTTTCTGCTTTCTCTTTCCCAGAAAGGAAAGGCATCAGCTCCATAGTCCATATTTCAAATTGTAACTTGCATTTTAATGAGATTCTCTATCACCCCTTGATAGTTTAATTCTTCTCCCACAAAACTCAAAATATTAGTACAAAGTATCCCTTTAGAAACAAAGCAACATGCAATAATTTTTCATCTGTTATTTGGGTTTCCAAGAATATAAACTAATCTGCAATTTAAGAACCTCTCACATATACTGCTTGGTCTGTCACTCTTGAACATGCTTAAAATCGTATTCTGTCTAATATTCCAGATGTATATTATTGTTTCACAGCACTGCAGTGATTAATGGCTTCCCATTAAGAAACACAATTTAGCTTGGGTGGAGTCACCTCCTAAATATGTTAGCAAAACAGTTTTGCAAATCCTTTTTTTCTCTTTATAAAGAAATATAGAATGTGGTATGTGGTTTCTGGTTTGCATCCAAGCATTCACTAAAATCTCATAAATGTGAGCAGCTGAATAGACAGACTGCTCTAATTTACACCAGACTTTGTAATTTTATTTGCTTGGTGTGGAATCATTCATCCAGAAAGGTATGATTCAGAACTACAGAACAGTTTATTTGCATACGGACTAACTAAGGCCATATTTAGTCTTGTGCAGCAGGCAGACTAGTCTTTTTGAACACATCTATGGGATCAGCTTAATCAAATATTCTGTAGGATTTCACAAATTACTTCTAAACAATATTTTCAATAATGTTCCATCAGCATCAGATTAAAATTTAATATATTACTGGGCCAGATTCTTGCTTCACTTCTTGTGGTATAAATCTTTGCTTAAATCTATAAATCAGTTACAATACTGTGACTTTACATTATATGTAAAAAAGGTCAGTATCTGTCGCCTATAAAAACTAGGTCCTCATCCAACTGACAGTGTAGGAAAAAAAACCAGAAAAGCTTTCTAAACTTAGTTACTAACTCTCACAGTTGTAATTTGTCATCTGCATCTGACAAAACTATCAAGGGAATACACACAACTTCAAGATTACTCATATACACCTTACTAGAGGGGGATTTTGTCAAAATCCAGGGCTAACAGACACAGGCAAAGCTGTAGTCCTACAAGTGGACTGTAAACTTTTATTTCACAGATGAATATTGGAATATGACATTATGTTAAACATTAATTTCCCAGAATTTCTAACATGCCTAATCCATTCTAATAAGCACAGAAAGGACAAACTCTCCAAACAGAAAGAGCATATTATGTGTATCCATGTCTTTTCTGAGCAAGTGAACATAATTTCATCATACATTACTATAAAACAAACTTACTTATTTAGGAAGTTAGAAATTTCAATACTTTTTAAAAGTAAGCAATTATAAAGTGGATGAAGAAGAAAAAGCTTGTGTGTTCAAGTGGAAACCTGACCTTACCTGAGGTAAATCCCCTTTATTTTGGGTGTGGATTCAAAAGCATCCTCTGAAACCGTTGTGATCTTGTTGTTCTGAAGATACAGATATTCTAGAGATTCTGGCAGGCCTGATGGGATAGAAGTCAGCTGGTTGCCAGCCATGTCTAATGACTGCAAGGAAAAATCAACAAGGGGTCAAATAAATAACTGAATTTAAATATTAGCAGTACTTCAAAAACAGATTTTTTTGACAACAAATGAGCTTCCAAAGGCTGGCTCTATACACACCCCCCCCTTGCTTTGGAAGTTTATCCATTGTTTTATACACACACACACACACGCGCATAAATCTATAAAAATACATATACATATAGATATGTGCACTTATAAAAAACTTAGTATGGTAACAGTAAAGAAATGAGATGTTTATGCAAAGCTTATCCAGGATTTGTTGTGTTTGAAAATCACCTGGGAAGAGGCTTTATTTTTCAGATGGTACTTTGCTAGGTCTGCTTCAGAACCTCTCCTTTCTGGTGAGGTCAGGAAAATGACAAACACCCTGTGTACAGTGGCAATTGCAAATTGTCAGCCATGAAAAAAGGTTCAGTTTGAGTTCATGGTGGAAAACCAAAGTGATATCTATTGTAACATAAACTAATTTCATCTACCTCTAATTTGCATCAAGGTTAAGCATAGCCACGACAAATCTGCTCTCTTACAGTAGCATTTAGCATCGTGATTTCACATGAGGCATCACACTGTTTTGTTTAGGAGTCCCAACATTTCTTTATCTCTGTCCCCAGGCTTTAGCCCATACCTGCTTACAGTGAATTAAAATCAGACTGGGTTTCAGACATGCATGAGAATTCCTTGGAAGCTGCTACTGCAAACACTTCACTCGCTAAAGGTTATGTTACTTAGAGTTACACATGAGAACACCTGGAAGTATTCTAACATAGACCAGTGTATGAAGACATTAGGACTAAAGGCCATGACCATTTCTCAGATGAATTTTGAGCAACGGAATGGATCGAAATAAGTGTTTTGTTATACTGTATTGTAGCATTTTCATGGCACCAAGCTGACATATTAGTTACACACTATTCAAAGCTACACTTCCGCAAATGATTGCCATGATTTCAGTGATTTTATTCTCCACAAAATCCCAGTCTGGCAAACAATTATGTAAACGTCTAGCTTTGCAATTGCAGATAGTCTTCAGTGATTTCCATGGCAACAGTGTGGACTGAAGCATATGCTAAGTACATGCACAATCCAGATCTTATGTGATGGCTATTTCTCAAATCCACTCCAGTGCACCAACTCATAAACCAATTGCATGGTTAAGACCTAAATGATAAAAAAGATTCATATATGCTGTCATGGAAATAACTAAGAAGTAGTAAAGCTGTTCCAGAAAAAAGCAACAGACAAAAATGCACCGTTAGTCTAACAGAATTTTAAGTGCATGCTATTATCTTAATCTTGTTTAATATGAGCAGGGTTTACTGGGGGGTAGGTACAACTGAAGGGCCAATGTTTGATTCAGCAATGCCTTACTCTGGCTTGACAGTGACTACAAGGGCGTGACAGTAAAATAAAAGTAACATGAAGTAGCTATGAATCAAGCCTTTTTGAGAAGGAAAGCTTGTCACTCCAACCAACAGCTAAAGCTGCCTAATGGGTCTCATGACCTGTTTTGTTTGAGAAAAAACCCAAAACACCAAGGTGACAGTGCCTAAATTTCATTAAGCTACTGCAGTGAAACAATTCCAGCATCTGTAATTTTCAACAGCATCTTCCTTCCAGACTACTTTTCATCTTAGATATATATGCATGTGCATACACATATCACTGAGGCACCAAACAAATGCAAAATGTCATAGCAAAGCCATGGACCAAATCTGCAGCTGATGTAAACCAACAGCTCTACAGATACCGTTGCTGCATTGCTGATTTACATTAGCTGAAAAACAAACTATTGTTTATTCTTAGAAACATCAGAGAAATGTTCACATAGATAAGTGTTTGGATTGTCTGAAAAAACACTAGGGGACAGTGTGACATATGCTCCATGACCCTTATCCCTGATCTGCTCTGAGAAGTACAAACTTTGCCTGTAGTGACCTAACCATATGCACCCTAGATGGTTGCCGTATGACATAGGTAATACCTTTTACTGCAGGAAACAGGCTGTGGCCTAAAAGGAAATGCAGACAAATCCTTCAGCCAGTGTAACAACTTTGAAAGGTCATTTTGCACAGCACAAATATGATTGTTCCTGCCTGCCTTATGGTTTGTGTTTAACTTTCTCCAACAATTAAGTAAATGAGAAGCCTCCTGATTGAATCCAGACCTCCTAGCTGCTATCCAGGTGCCTTAGCCAGCTGAGCTGCTAAATCCTACAGCTTGGCCTGTCTGACTGTAAGCTGATGTGGGGGCTTTGAGAATTAAGAGTGTTTTTATTTATGCATTCCTTCCTCCTGCTGTCTCTCTTCAGAGCTGATTTTAAATCTTTTGGGAGACAAGCTATTTGAAAGGCGTAATTTCAGTTTTAATGACAACATTCACTAATCTTTATCTGAAAATATAGGACACTATTAGGGTTCAGAAACAAAGATGTCTTTACATTTCCCAGAATTAGCAGTACAAGGCGGACCACCACCCTGATCAGCAGTGGGAGGTACCCACCTCTGGCACAACAGCACATCATTTCTACTCTAGAAACAGAAGGTGTAGCACTTACAATGCAAGCCCAAAACATGAGGACCAAGGCCATCTAGTATTGGTGTTATACAAATGGGCTTAGGCAGACAGACAAGGGCATCAGCATTACTAAAACAATTAGAGAAGGTGATGTTTCTACCTGGAGACTGCTGAGTTCTCTCCACGCTCTTGAATAAATGGAATTTACTTTCAGTTTATTGTTGCTCAAATACAGTTCCCGCAGCTTTGTCATCCCAGACAAAGTCCCTTTTGGGATGATGCTTATCTCATTCTCCTTCAGCTTCAGAATCTGCAAGTTCTTTGGAAAGCCAAAGGGCACCGTGTGGAGATTGTTTCCAGAAAGATCCAAGGACTTTAGCTGCCTCAGCTTACGGAAGGCCTCCCGATGGATCTGGGGACTTTTGAGCTTATTGTAGCTCAGGTTCAGCTCTTCAAGGAAGTAAGTGGTAGCAAAGTCATTCCTGTTAATCTCAGAGATCTGGTTATGAAGGATCATAAGTGTTTTCACTCGCCGGGGCAGCCCACTGGGAATCCTTTCCAGCATGTTGTTATAGAGGTGGACAGTGTGCAGCTTCTTTAAGCCCTGGAAGGCTAACGGGTGAATACCTCGGGCTTTTAGTTTGTTATTGTGGAGCAGAAGGTACTCCAGGTTCTTAATTTGGGTCAAGACATCTCTGCCAATCACCTTAATTGCATTCTTCTCCAGGTGGAGGAGGACAATGTTTCGAGGTAAACCACTTGGGATTTGTGAGAGGTTATTGCTGGACAAATCCAGATATTCAAGACTAGACAATTTCCTTGGGAAAGAAGGAAAGAAAACACTCTCCATTTAGATTCTATTGTTAGAAACAATAACCAACTGCCCCTAGGACTTTACAGTCTTTGCTTTAGAGTCCTTGTCCCCAGCACAGCTCCCATTACTGCCCTTTTTTGTCCCATTATCTGACTGATCTGCACAGCAAAACAGGGAGCTGCCATACTGCCATTAGGGTTTAGGACTAAGTGCTGCCATTGCTCCCCAGCCACACTAGCAAGAAAACCTGCTAGAGTCCACAGATATCCAAACCACCACTGGGCTAAGACCTGAGATCAGTTTTGCAGTCTACTGTTCTCTCATTTGACGTCACAGATCGTAACATACAAGACATTTCAGTGAACAGGTACCACAAGAAAGATGCCATAGGAGCATCATTAGAACACAGAATTTAGCTCTCAGTTTCACAAAAATGTAGCCTGAGCGTAATTTCTGCCTCTCTGAAACTGTACACTGAAACTGAAAAGCAGGCCTCCTTTTTAGTTGGTGAAATATTACTCTTATGAAGAGCAGAAATCCTAATTCGGTGTCCTAGGCTAAGGCAGTGAACTTCTCCTGACCCTCCAGTATCATGGAAGTGAGTCAGGGTTAGAGCTGCTTTGTGTAAGATAATGAATCTGGGTTCCACGGACTCAGTGGAAGCTAAAATAAATCGTCAGAGCAGCCACTTACACCAATGGGATGTAGACCAATGGTATTATAAGCCAGGATTGAGGAGTCTTCTATTGCCTTGTATTTCAAGTCAGTTTGTCAGTTCAAATGACACTTCTAATCTCCATGGCACTACATAACCCACTGCAGGTGAGTAGAAAGTTTTCAGGAAGTGCAAGAACTAATGCCTTACAGACCTTACTTACTGGTTACTACACTGATATTCACAGCTATCCAAGCATGCTCTGAATGAGCAAATACACTCCTCAGGTAAAGCACTTCCTGGCTCCAAGTTGTAACGCTTTCCCAGCTTAGGTACATCTCAATAGCACCATGCTGTGCTGTATGGACAGTATCAAAAGAGCAAGAAGCACTATCCACCCCCTCTGCTGACTGTCAGGTGCCTTAGCTATAGCCACTGTCCTCTGTTCATCAAAATCTTAACAGAAATTGTATGTCCAACGTGTCTTGGAGGCAGACACAACCCAGCTATGGTAAATTACTAATTGAGGTTTCTGGGATGGGGATGTGGAAAAGGAAAGCACAGTTTGATACATTTTCATGTCTGGAGATCAGAAAAGTTTACAGAATTGAGTGAAGGGCAGGACAGATTATGTAATCTGGATTCCCAGGTAGAACAAGGGCAGCACTCAATGCAAGCAGAGATGCAAATGTTAACTTTTTGAAGTGCTAAGTCCCAGGCTAAATTTAGGACAGCCAAAGGCTATTTCTATTGCACGAGTTTGTAGCAAAGCTTTTGCAGCCACCTGGCTATTGAGCAGCACCATTGCATGCCCTGCTATTCCAGCAATCCATCTGCACTGGGGTACAGCTGTGCCAAATGAATTCACAACTGTGTATCTGTAGCTGCTTTCAAGTCGCCATCTCAGAAACACAGAAGTGGCTTTAGCAAAGATAAAGGTCTGGCCTTAACTTCCAGTGAACTGCCCTTGAAACTGGAAAGTCCCAAGTAACCTCACTTTTGACTGGCTTGGAAGAACAGAGACCAGCTTTCAGCATTGCTCTGGGTGGCTTTTTCCCAGAAGGCACTTAGTACCTGGTGTAATTGGGTCTGTGGCAATCAGGGGGTGATGCAGCCTGATGTTCAGTGTTGTCTCTTTTGTGTAAAAGTATTCTGCAGTGTGAATTCAAACCACTCACCCAGACCTTTGCTTTTGAATGGCAGCATCTGAACCTAAGTCTTTTCATATAGACTTAGCAGAGAAATGCATAACATTGTGCAGCTTTTAATGAATGTACTTTTTTCAGTAGATATACTACAGTACCAGAAGAGATAGACAGAAACAGAGCTGCAAACTACAGCTTTCAGTCTCACCAGAAAGTTTCGTTGTCCATTCCTTCATTAGTCAAGTAGTTATTCTGTAAATACAGCTCCCGCAGACCTGTAAGTTCACTGAAGGCTCCTTTGGGAATCTTCTCTAGCTTGTTGTTCTAGAGTCACCAGAAGCACAAAGCACATTATTTGGCATGAAACAACATAGGACATTCAGGTTCTGCTCAACTAACATCAGGCAATTAAACTTCAAAAAGGCTAGACATAAGATATTCAGGCGTCATTATAATTCTGCTTAAGAAATAAATACAAATACTAGACTGAAATATTACAACCTATTTTCATTGATTCCCCATGGAATCTTTGGGCAAAAGAGTTACATTTTGCCCCTGTGATAGACAGTTTTATTTTGTATTCTTAGTCCTTCCATCTATGTGCACACGTAAAATATAATCTAGGCAACAACCTCTGGAGCTTGCTCAAAATTTCTGCATTTTGTAAGACGTATTTCACCACAAAGAAGAATCAGGTTGGAAGCTGTGAAACAGTCATCCTTCCAGCATTAATGGCATTCCAAAAGGTACAGTTCCTGCAATGTAGCTTCCAAAATAATGAGTCCTGTTGCCCTAGTGTGATTTTGCAGTAGCCAGCAGGCAGACATGAACAAAATACAAAACTAAATTCCACTTAGAAATTCCATACAGGAACTGTAGGAATTATAAAAGGATATATAAAACACTAGAAATTATAAAAGGATATATAAAGCACTGACACTCAATTTGTTAAACTTCCCACAATCCACGTATACACAATAATGTGAAGGACAGACTGGACAAGATTCATGTGCCAACTAATATAAAGCGGATACCACCACAGACAGATTTGGCTGAGTATCTCAATGAATAATGAAAGAAAAAAAAAGATCTGTCACATCTAAAGTACACCTTTTGGACACTTTTGGTCCACTATTGGCTGTCTCTCATTTCTCATTGTCCTGATTTTTTCCCAGTCAAAATATCAAGGTAAATGTTACTACTGACAGGCAGTGCACTTGAAAACAAAATGCTCATTTCTCTCTTCAGCTCCTCTTCTCTTAACACAACTGGTGACAGCAGGGAAGCATACGAGTTCAAAGTGCAGTCCTCAAAGTCTAAGACCCCTTTGGGAGATAATGATTACCTATAAATGGCAACAAAATGCAAGGGACTAGTAACTTCACACTTTGCAGAGAAATTCCAGCAATTTAAAGGATCAGACTGTTTGCCTTTACTTTTCTTCAAGCTGCAGAAGCCTGTTTTCTAGAAGACTTTAATGGGAATTAGCAGTGAAACCTTCAAGGGAAAAGAGAGCTGGGAGGCAACACGGAACTGCCTAAGCTCAGAGGCTGATAACAGATTCCAGTCTACATATGTCCAAGGAGCTGTCAACACTAGGAGCAAGCGGAACCAGGATTCCCCACCGCTGCAGCTCTCCCATTGTTAACAAGGCTGAGATCTCTAGCACAGACATGATGAAGTGTTTTTATCGAAATCATATGATATGAAATTAAAAATGCTGGAGACTAGTTAATGCCACAACTTCTGCTATTGCACTATTGCTGGAGAAGTTGTAGCAGTCAAGATGATCCAAACTTTCTCTGTGTTGTCTGAATTGCCAGTTCAGTAGCAAACTAAAATCACTGATGCTAGGAAACGGTAGTCTATGTGAAATGAGTTAGTGAGCAAAGCCAGTACCTAATGGGTAAGCAGCTGTCAGGAAAAACAGCATCGTCAGTGGCAAACTTAACTGGGAGGCCAAGCACTGGATGGCCATGGAGAATGATCTACCTTCTTGTACTAATTAGTATCATTATACGCAGGGAAGAGCCCAACCATTCAGGCATTTGCAATACATTTTCTTGAAAACAGAGAAAGGCATTTTTGTCCCCTGTGAACATTTTGGTGTTTTGCAAAAACATGCTGTTACTTACGAACAAAAAAGGACATGAGAGACAGCTACTGCTGAGGATATAGCAGACGAGACTTAAAATGGGCCTGGGAATGTTTCCAAGTGCACTGAAATGGCTTGGCTGTGTAGTTTGAATCCCATACAAACACAGTACTTGGTCACAATTGCAAAGGACTACAAAATCTTGTTGTCGTTACCTTTAAGTGTAATTTATACAGTGCTGGAGGGAGATTCTTTGGAACATACTTCAAGAAATTACTGGACATGATGAGTATCTCCACATTATCAGAGCCATTGAACATATTATCAGGTAAGCCAGCATCTGAAAGTTTGTTGTTATGAAGATACACAGATCTGTTGGAAGGAGAAAAAATATTACAGATAGTGAGATCTGGGGTTTTTTGTTTACCAAGAGAAAGCTGTTTAAAAAATACATTTCAATCTTCTCTTCTTTTCTTGAGATAATTAGATTTGTTTTTAAAATGTGCCCTTTAATTTAGCAAGGGATATATATGCAAAACCGAATGGTTGGTCCAAATGCCCTCTGAAATGTAGGTCTATTCAAAATCCAAACCTGCATTTGAATACAAATTTCACAAGTAGCCTTATCTTCTTAACAAGAAACTGAGTGCAAGTCTGGGATTGTGCAGTGCTTTGAAACAAAGAATGTTGGCGTGGTGGCCTCACTCAAGAAGTTTAGAACTCATACATGATTAATAGATATGCCCCCAATTTTGACTTCTATTTGGAATCAAATCAGGGCTTCTTGGGCTTGCAAAATCAACCTGTAGCTCTCTTAAGGAAGGGTCATCTCTTACCCCTCCATTCTTTCTGTTCCCACTAAGGCTGGACATACCCCAGGAAACAGTTTCTCTCCTGCTCCTAGAACTCAGAAAGGCATAGAGTACTGACAGAAAGACAGAGCAGAATTACTCAATCTGGAAGACTTTGGATTTAATGAACCTTTGGGATCAAGAGAAAGAGGATTTCTTCTTTTCCCCTTTGCCCCTCTTGCTTTTAACCTTTAATATTCACAGAAGAGTTTCTCCAATCAGATTTTAAAAAATTGATTCATTCTTTCTTATACAGGTTTTAATTCTGTATAAAACAATTGACCCCTATGAAGTTACTCCTGCTTTTCATTGGCTTAACTGCTAAATGAATTTATTTGACAACGTTTTAACAAAAGACATTATATATTTTACTGACTTCGATTACCCCTTCCTTTCCTGTGTTACCCCAAGATGGAGTAGGTAGCTAGAATTGTAGAGACAGGCTAAAACTGTAAAAGAGCACAGTGTCAAAGTGTGCTTTTTTAACTTGTTCATGGTTTATCTACCAGATGGAGAGAACTTGGCAACATCTTTCTGGAAGGAAGCAAAGGCTGAGTATGGAAACACAATCGTGTGACTCCAGGGAGGTCAGAGCCACACTGAAAATATTGTTCACCCTGCATGGTCAGCTTACTTTTAACTCACAAATATTTGCCTTTCTGAAAACCTTGCTTTCCAAATAATCAGTCTGAGACCATGAACTCTGCCAAGGGCAAATAAACCAACTGAAACAACAGTGTTAGGATTTTTTATCAGCAATCTTGGAAATCAGAGTTACTATTCTGATTAAAATTAGTGTTGGTATAGGAGAGAGTGAAAATCACTTCAGAAGAGTGCAAGAATTTTAATATGAAATCAAAACATGGCAGCTTCTACAACACAGACTAAGGAAAAACACATATATAAATCTAGTTTCTTTCATGATGAGGTATTGCCAGAAATCAGTGAATGGTTCAACCTTTTCAGCTACCTATGAGTAGCTATCTCAGAGCCTATGAGACTAAAGGCCTAGTGAGTAGAGTGTAGCTTCAGCTCTCAATGAATTCAGTGGGAACAGAGAGTTCTTCAGTTCGTCACAAGACTGGGCTCTAGGACCTCAACTGGGTCAGCTATTATTAACTGCTTCCAAACTTGGATGCATAAATTGCTACCAACAGAGTCTGAGATGTCTTTGCAGGATTTAGATGCTGCAATGTCCGTATAGATTACTCAAAATGCCTTTGGAAAAGACCGCATCTCACAGGAGGTGGTCTATGTGCATCTGAATTTGAGGTGGGCCAATGTGCTGCACGGGATCCAGCTGTGAAAATCACAACCTGAAACTAGCAGAGAGACTTTTGAAACCTCACTGCACTGAGTACTGTACTCTCAACCTGATTCTATTTTTAAAATGAATGGACTATAATAAAACTAGGGATTTCTCAACAGTTAATCTCCATTTTGAGAAATCAAACGTGTTCCTCTCAACTCATAACTGATACACAACTAAAATGGAGACAATTTAATTTTTATCTATGCAAAAGTTGCTGGCAGCTAGTAAAAGCCCTTGGAATGTGTTTGTCTGAGAGATTATTTGATCTTCCATGCTGAGAATAACAAACAGCCAGTTTCTTTCCAAAAAACATAAGTAGACAATAACATGGTTTAGCCAGATAGTTCCTTATCACTCACCAGCTGCCTCCAAGCAGTGGCAGAACACCATTATTGTTTTACTTCCCGATCCCTTACCTCAAGTTTGGTTTCTGTCCAAATGTGAGCCCATATATCTTAGTGAGATAATTGGCTGCAAAATCTGCACTTATCAAGGTATTTGGTAGGAATTTTGGAGCCACTGTTAGCTGTAAAAGAAATATACAGGGGAATTCCAATTAAATGCAACAAATGTTTTAATCAAGTATTAGACAGCAACAAAACACTCACAAATTTATTTTCTCTAAACAGGCAAAAATAAATGAAACTGAACATAGATTGCATGAACAAAAACAAATTGTCCTCACTCACTAATCTCTCCAGGAAGGAGACGGATTTTTGCTCCAAGATATGTGAATGTTTGTTTTGGTTGGAAGAGTCCTGTCTCTTTTTGGTAGAAGAAATCAAGAAACTATTATTCAGAGGGCAAACACGTTGCTTATTATTGTTCCTAATTCCTCAGTCTGCTGTGCCAAAAAAATGCAACCCACCTCACAGTGGCCTACTACTTACTCCCATATGAAAGTATACTGCAGGGGGAAGTGTCACTTCTGTGACAATGTCTGTTCCAATACTGGATCCATTTACAGCCATCTTTTCAACAGAGGATCCAGGTTCCCAAAGGACAGGGACGCTTCTGAGCAAAATTATGGAATATCACATGGGACTTCAAAGCAAAGTACAGTGATACTTTGTCCGTTGAACAAGTGATGTATCAGAAACAAAATACAGAAAGGTCCTGCCTCCAAAACTTTATAGTCAACAAGAGGTATAGGATTTGATGTATTTGCTCTTGGTCTATTGCTATTTTTATCACTGATTTTAAAAGATAATGCTAGGAATGTCTGCATCTGAACAAAAATTAGTGGAGTGAAAACTAATGATCAAAAAAGCTCAGTTTTACAGAGCATCAAGATAATACAATAGCTAGGTTCACTGAGTGTCTGCTAATAGCAAAGTCATTCATCTAGAAATCAAGAATACAGATTACAATACAGGCTGGAGGACAGTTTTCTGGAAAGCATAACCCCAGAAGATTTATGCATCAAGATTAGGCCCTTGGGAAACAAATTCTGTAGGAGGTATGATCCTTGAGTACATAAGCAGAAGACTACTGAACGGCAGTAGGCAGATGCAATCACCGTGGTTACAGATGTCAGCTATAGTACTAATGAGACCACGCTTGCAATATTTTATGTACACTCTGAAAGGCTATTTTATGTACATTCTCTCTCTGGAGAGAACATCTTTTCTAGGGAGATACTTAAGTCTTAAGCCAGTTTTAGATGACTTAAACTTTGAGATCAGGGTGGGAAATTCTAGGCAATGGAAGAGATCTGCCTTCTAGCTTGAAATTCTTTGAATCTATAAAGCTTCTTCCTCACAGCACTGTTGCATGAAAGAGGACTTACTCCTTACAGCCATCAAGGCACAGCAAGACTCACATGATGAGAAAACATATTTTTCAAATCCTTATTATAATAGAACTGCAACTAGTTAGTAATAACAGTGTAAAAACAAAAATATTTACAATATGAACAATGCATGAGAGAACAGAAACTTTACTGGAGAACTGCCTAACCCAAGCCTTAAACTATGTATTTACCTAAAGGGTGCCTAGATCTCTCTCTACTAGTTTATGAAGTGTACACTGATGGTCTATATATCCATGAACTTGAAATTTACTGGACTCATAATAAAGTCCTATTTTTTAAAAGACGACAGTACATTATTCATTGTTTTTCATTTTCACCTGTATCAAAACCTGAATCCTTTAGCTGTCTTAAATGCTTAATGGTCACAAACACAAGAAAGATCTTTCCCAGAGATTACACTCCTATCAGTATTTCCAGATAGTACGTAAGCAGTGGAAAGAGGCATTTTACATATTACTACAGTTGCCACAGTACTGCTCTTGACTTTACTGGTAACCTCTTACCTTCTGACTTGGGAGATATGATTTCAGGGAAGTGGATAAAGGCACTCATCTCTGACTAGGAAGGCCTGACAGTGCCTCAGAAAGAAATAAGTATCTACCATGACATAATATTGAGAATTCAGACACAGGAGATAGACTTAATCACTTTCATACACGGTGGCACATTAAAGCTTTTCTCCTGAAACATGGTCTATTAGGTTGTAACTTTTAGACAAAACAAAGGGCATGGCTCAGATATGTGAAATGAGAGACATCAGAACTACAAGAAAGTGGAAAGAGAAAGAGAAGTTTCATTCAGAAGGAGTTTTCACTTGCTCAGGACATTGCTTTGGCGTTTCAGGACTTAGTCGTGAGACTAATTGATCATCCCTGGTTGACTGCTTGAAGGATTAATGCTGGATTGTTGTAACTGTTAGGAAGAATAAAGTTGACTGAGTAGCTTTGTCTAGCATATTGCCTAGTAAGTAGTAATCTGCATTTCTCCAGCTGCAATTTTCTTGCAGCTTTACTGCTGGATCTTCCTTTCCTTATGTTTCTCCACTGTTAACCAATGAGTTAATGAATGAACTCAGAAGGATTATACAATAGTTATTTCCAGCTTTGGAACAAGTTTTCTTGCTTATAACATGCTTTGATATAAACAGAAGTAGTGAATCGAGATGAATCCTATATCTCTTTGGGGATATGGGGACATGTAAAACCTTCTGTCACCAAAATCACCAGCTTGGAGTAAATAACAATGACAGGTCAGGACCTGGTCTACAGTTTGGGAGAAGAGATTTCTGTTATTAACAAGGGTCACTGTGGATACTAGATGACAGATACAAATTATGAGATTGGGGTGAAAACTCAAAAAGGAAACTACAGCATCCGTTCTTTACTTAAAGTACTCGCTACTCATAAACCACAGAAGGCTTTTAGCCTATAATGATATTTCTCTTCTCTGACCAACTATGCTAGTTTAACAAAAGATAATATAGCTACATCTGATAGGATTACAATTGAAAATAAAGCAGCATTAAGATAATCCATAAAACAAGGAGCAAACTACCAGCAAATCCCTGCTCTCCTCCAGACACCACAGTTACTTGATCTGCAGTGTTTCCTGCTGCAGAGTGGATGCAGTTTGAAGCCAATCTGGTTTGTCCTGGCTTGTGACTTATAAAGAAATGCGTTATTTTTGTGGGTCCACAACTTCTCACTGTAACTAGTTCTGACATTCGCTGATGTTTGCATTTTCTTTTGGGATCCTTTTCTCTCTGCAGTAAAGCCAGAAAAACCAAACACTTTGTTTTGTCACACAGGGAAAATTGGAGTGCAAAGTTCTGGAATATTAGTCACAGTCTGGCTTGTTCCTTTTTATGGAGTTATTAACTGCCAAGATTGTTATATGGAAATGGTGCTTGAAAGGGAGAAAAGAACACAATGTTACTGTACTAAGAAATGGGTTCTATTCTCAATCACTCCATACAGAAATCTATGGAGTGATTCTGGATATGTCTTGGCCTGACTGAAACCTGGATGTGGCCACATGTATATAAACAAAACATCAAATGGTCACAGATTTTAAGAGGACAATAAAATATATATACAGACATGCATACAAAAATATATATATCTAAAGAGGAAGGGAGGAATGGAAAGGCAGGGGTTTTGTAGACAAAAGCAGCTCTGCCTGATGTTTTAACTTATATTTTTCTGTGGCATCCCAGTTCCATCTGTAGCAAATATTTGTGGACAATCACTGGAGAAAAAGAAAGCCATAATGGGAACCACCCGGATACAAGGGTATGTGAGAAGTTATTTCATTTCCTAGCCTTGGCAGGAAAGATATGCTTCTGTTGTGACATCCAACTTGAGACATTAATAAGAAAGCACCTAGGATCTTCTCCATTGAAAAAGAAATTCCGCTCCTACCACTGCAGCTAAAAGAATAATTCATAACTTGCACAGTTTCATTGTGTGTGGGTATCCCTCCACATCAAACCTAGTAAGAATGGTAGTCAGGGAAAACTGGATAACTTTTTATAGATTTTGATGGCTCAAACACAGATATTGGGATGCGTTTGTTCATGAATTTTTCAAACAGCCTCATCTGATGAGATATGCAGCACTTCACATCATTACCACACATCTTATCTGCATACAGGCAGCTATCAAATCTGCATGCAGCTGATCCAAAGCCTGCTGAAGACAGTGGTAATTTATAAATGCAGGAACTCCCTGTACCTCCCTACACACACAAGGGAAACCTTTCACCAGTTGCACAAATAAATACGTGTTCAAAATATAGGGGCATGTATTACCCTCTAATTTTTTAGCATACTAACTGATCGTCTTGACCTTAGATGAACCTGCATTAGAATATCACTTTAGCACAATTTTACTTATGTAGGATATATGTTTTAAAAGAATTGAAGACTTCCTTGTTTAACTTTCAGAATTTAATCAGAAAAGAACTCTGAAGGCCTTGTGAGCCTCTTACCTTATTGTTTGCCAGGTACAGGTAATTCAGGTTCTCCAGATGCTCAAATGCTTCCTCTGGCAACCCTTAAAAACAGGAATAAATAATCAGTGATATTGGCACCTTATTGCCTCTCTGAGTGAAAATACCAGAGGGTAGCTTTCTCTCTCAGGTAATATCTTTAATGTGAAATTTAAGTATTTTTCATTGCCACTGAAACAAGTCTGACAGAGACCTATTGTTGTCTTTGTGGTTTGGTTGGTTTTTTTAATTAAAAAAAAAAACCAAAAGCACAGACTGTTAAGAGCAATGGAAGATCATTAAAAATCCTAAGCATGCAAGGCTTGTGGCCAACCCCACTGGCAAGGTCTGGTACAGAGCTGCGTAGACTTGCTGTACAGCTGATTATCAGTGCTTGCAGCAACTATGCTAGCTGGGAAGTTCCTTTTGTCATTTGCTCATGAATCTGCAAACCATTTTTCTTGGAAGGACACAATCTGAGGTTGTTTAACAATCTGGTTAATCTGATCTTATGACCATGATGTTGCCAAA